TACAAAAATTGTTCCAACAAAAGCGAACCAATGGGTTCAATGAAGTAGATTCCAATACAATAGTCCATAGTTTTATACATAGAACATACACACAATGCGGATATCTTTACAGAATGTATTACATCAACTAATCAATATGCTAACAGCTCAGAGGAACTATTAGAGTGATGTTGTCCAGACAAATCCAACGTGTTTCAGAACTCATGTTTCCTTCTTCAGGGATAAACATGTCAGGTCTAAAACATAATAGCATTTCAAGGGAGGACAAGCAAAGACACACTGATGCACCATCCACCTGGCAGCGGCCATTGAGGGAATCTATCAGTAAGTATAATCAATACCATAAGTCACAAAAATCTATCCTGCTTATTATTTAGCATAAAAAGTAATATATTCTATAGCTATGTCTTTGCTTGTCTTCCCTCTGATGTGTCTACTGGGAGAGCATCTCCATTCAATTCTTTATGAATATCTGTTATCTACTATGTGATTTGGTGCAACCTGTAAGTGTTTGAGTAACCAGTTTTCTTCTATGCAATTTTAAAGTGATATTATGTACTATGTTGTTCACATTTACCTGATATGCTGTTATGTTTTAGACCTGACATGTTTATTCCCTAAAGAAGGAAACATGAGTACCAAAAAGCATTGGATTTGTCTGGAAAACATCACTCTAATACTTCCTCTCAGCTGCTAGTATATTAGTCAGTTGATGTAATACAGACTGTCAGGATATCCGCATTGTGTGTATGTTCTATATGTAAACTATATACTATTGTATTGGAATCTACTTCATTGAACTCATTGGATCACTGTTACTGGAACAATTTTTGTAAAAAACATTATCTTTTTATACTTTCATACGCTCACTGGAGTTTCTGCCATGTAAAGTCCCAGGGACCATTCATTCATTATTTTTTTGTTCTGTTTTGTTTTGTTTTGTATGGAAACAATGGCTTCTACAGAGCATGGGACCCAACGAGACAGTCTAACCATACAGGTTATGGTGAGAATGGACTATAGGAATCAGTCAGTGTATACACCAGAGGCTATGGATGTGCATCTGGCTGACAGGGCATAAAAGAATGGTTTGCATGGCTCCACCCACTTAGGATGAGGAATATTCCTCATGTTTTTGGGATATGTGATGGTAGAATTGTGTTTTAAAAAGGCTTTACTGAATTATGCACTGATTCAGTTGGAGGGCTTTTTGATTCCTTTAGCCTCTTCTCACCGTGACCTGTATAGTTACACAGTCTTGTTGGGTCCCAAGCCCTACTCCATAGAAGCAATGGTTTCCATACACTACACTGATGATGGGCAAAAAGTCTGAAACAGCTGTATGCAGTTTGGAATAAATGGCTCTATGATATCAAGCTACGTTTTCACCATACGCTGGCAATTCTGGATGTGTGTCTGGCTGATGGGGCATACAGGAATGCCTTGTATGGTCCCACCCACTGTATTGAAATGTGAACAATTATTTTATTGTTGGATATGTGATGGTTTGAGATATGTGAATATTTTCTGTTTTTTAAAAAAGGCTTTATTTTGCTGCTGCTTGTTACCACAGTAAACAGTCATCTGCTTTCAAAACAAAGTACACATCACATGAGGGTTTATATTTATTTTAAGTATCTATTAGACTCTCATTACTGTTAATAAACTTCTGCATCATTCTCCTCTTCAAATGAGTCCATCCCGACCTCCTCATAATCCTTCTCCAGAGCGGCAAGATCCTCACGAGCTTCAGAAAACTCGCCCTCCTCCATTCCCTCACCCACATACCAGTGAACAAATGCCCGCTTGGCATACATGAGGTCAAACTTGTGGTCCCAAGCGTGCCCAGGCCTCTGCAATGGCGGTTGTGTTGCTCAGCATGCACACAGCACGCTGCACTTGGGCTAGGCTGCCCCCGGGTACCGCGGTGGGGGGCTGATAATTAATGCCAACCTGCGAAGGAAAGAAACCCATTTACTAGAGCATGGTCAGGATTACTGGGCAGCATTATTAGCACTGAAGAAACACTACAACAGTTGTGTTTTCTATTTTAAATAAAATATTACAAATAAAATTGCATGTAGGTAAAATATGGGGGGGGGGGGGTCAGTATCATGAAATGTTTTATGTTTATTTAAAGGAAAGCTTCAGTCCCCTTAACGCAGGACTTACAGTCTTTCCTCTGTTCATTCAACTTAAAATACTGGGGACAGCCTGTGACAAAGAAGTACTGTGAGTGAGGGGCAGCCCCGGATTAACCATTTGCCCTCTTGAGGATTTACCCCCCTCCTGACCAGAGCATTTTTTGCGTTACTGCGCTGCGTTACTTTAACTGACAATTGTGCGGTCATGCAACACTTCACCTAAATGAAATTTACATCCTTTTTTTCCCCACAAATTGAGCTTTCTTTGGGTGGTATTTGATCACCTCTGCATTTTTTAATTTTTGTGCTATAAAAAAAAAATAAGACCGACAATTTTGACAAAGCAAACAATATTTTAGAATTTTTGCTATTAAACATGTCCATAAAAAATAATAAAAAAAAAATCAAATTTCGTCATAAATTTAGGCCAAAATGTATTCTGCTACATGTCTTTGCTAAACAAAATCCCAATACTTGTAAATTAATTTGTTTACATGAAAGTTATAGTGGTATAGATACTGGAATTTCTTTTTTTTTTAATTTTTACTAGTAATGGCGGCAATCAGCGACATATAGCGGGACTGCGGCGGGCATTCTGACACATTCTGACATCCCTAGTGACACCAATACAGTGATCAGTGCTAAAAAAAGCACTGACACTGTACTAATGGCACTGGACAGGAAGGGGTTAACATGAGAGGCGATCAAAGGGTTAACTGTGTGCTGTTTCACAGTATGCTCTGTGTGTGTGCTTCACTGTGCACTGTGCTGTGCACAACCATCGAAAGCAGTGTGCACGAGCTAACAGAGGAGAACTGTATTGTTTACATATAGTTCTCCTCCCTGTTGAAGATGCTTGCCAATCACCAGGCACCGGCAAGTAATCACTGGGACCGGGTGATTGACAGCTGTGGCCGTGAATGGCGGCACAGGTAGGGCGCAGGAGCCCCCTACCTGGAAATGCGAAATCACGTATATATACCTTTAGGTTGTAAGCTCCATGAGCAGGGCCCTCCTATTCCTTCTGTACTAAAATGTATTGTAATTGTACTGTCTCCCTTATATTGTAAAGTGCTGAGCAAACAGTTGGCGCTATATAAATCCTGTATAATAATAATAATAATATATGTGATTTTGTGCACCCGTGTCACCCTGTAGCAGTATATCTGCTATAGGGAGGTCGGGAAGCTGTTAAAGGTGAGCAGTGTAGCCAAAGCTGCATTTCTCTTTTTTTTTTTTATTAATAAACTCCAGAGGGACATTTAAAAATGTTATTAAAGTTGAATACAAGGTACACGGTATATATTTGGATAAAATGTTAAAAAAAAAAAATACTGACCTTTCACCCTTGGCAATTGGGCTCCAACACACTCACTCACAAAGCTGGAGGAAGTGGAAATAGACTATGAGTGCGCTGATTACTGCAATCATAGTCCATTGAGAACTGCAAGTCTGTCTGCTGTGGTGGCAGACAGGATTTGTAGTTTTGTTTATTCACAGATCTCTGAAGGGCCAGGCAGATTTTAAATGTGACAGCAGCTGTGGGGGAGAAGAACCCCAACATGCTGTCACAAGTGGAGGGGCTCTGGGGTGGGAGGCGGGTGCTTAGGAACATGATGGTACAGGTTACACCATAAATACAGGTGTAACATGTAATATGTTCCTAAAAGTAAACTTAACCTTTAAGGCTGGCCATACATTATACAATTTTCTTGAGAATTTTGCTTTAGATCTGCCAAAAAACATATAATATGAGGTCAAACTTACACAACACTTTCAATTGTATCCAATTAGGCAGACCCTCGCACTACATAGTTGAAGGTAAATCTAAAGGAAATTGGGCAGAAATTGGACAGAAAATTGTAAGAAAATGGTATAGTGTATGGCAAGCCTAAAGTAGAGCATTGGAATGACTCATCTCAACATCTAGAAAGCAGAAGCAGTGAGGACAAGCAATATTAAAGTTCTTATAATGTACTGTATATAGCTGACCTGAAGGGAATTTTTTCTTGTTGATAAAACTCCAGTTTTATGCTAATAATGATGCTGATAAAGTGTAACCCCAGCCAAGACGTTTTTGTAGCTGTTGATAGAAAGACTAAAACGGTTAGAATTTACTGCTATCCATGTTGGCACTGACCTAATTTCCAATGTCTCCCCACTCTACATAAAAAATTGGATCCCCAGTGGTTACGGTCCCATCACTTCTTGTGTGCATGCAGCAATAAAACTTGAGTTGTAACCTCTCATCACTCTATTCAAACCCAAAAAAGAGGCACCGACAACATTCAATGGTATCACCTTCTTGAAAGCACTAGTATTGAAAGTCTGTCTGGTCTTCTTCAAGCTATACCTACCGGTATTAGGCGAGACTGGGCGATTTGAGGCTTTCAAGATTTTGAATACCTACAATTATTCCCTATAAAGAAGACTAAACTTCCCTTAATGTCAAAGATTGGTAGATTTTTACACCCACAAATTCTCTTCTCACCTTGAATCCTGTAGGACACCAGTCCACAAATTGAATGTTCTTCTTGGTTTTGATGTTGGCGATGGCCACGTTGACATCTTTGGGCACCACATCACCCCTGTAGAGCATGCAGCACGCCATATACTTGCCATGACGTGGGTTGCATTTCACCATCTGGTTGCTTGGGTCAAAGCAAGAGTTGGTGATGTCGGCTACGGTCAGCTGTTCATGGTACGCTTTCTCTGTCGAGATGATGGGTGCATAGGTGACCAGAGGGAAATGAATGCGTGGGTAGGGCACCAGGTTGGTCTGGAATTCGGTCAGATCCACGTTCAAAGCGCCAGCAAACCGGAGCGAGGCTGTGATGGAGGACACGATCTGGCCAATCAGGCGATTAAGGTCGATGTAAGTTGGCCGCTCAATGTCCAGGTTGCGTTGGCAGATGTCATAGATGGCCTCATTGTCCACCATGAAGGCACAGTCTGAGTGCTCCAGTGTAGTGTGGGTGGTGAGGATGGAGTTGTAAGGCTCCACCACAGCGGTTGAGATTTGGGGTGCAGGATAGATGGCAAATTCCAGTTTGGATTTTTTCCCATAATCTACAGAGAGCCGTTCCATTAGAAGGGAAGTAAAGCCGGAGCCAGTCCCCCCCTCCAAAACTGTGGAAGACGAGGAATCCTTGTAGGCCAGAGCAAGCGTCACTCTGAAAGGTAACAATGCCAAATGTTTCAAACACTGTTTATGAAGCATTATTATTACACTTTAGGGCAACTTTTTCTCAACATGTCATCTCATCAGAGATCCCACCATTACTTATTTGTAGGGTTGGCCCACTCTGCTGTGAGTAAATTTCAATGGAGAGCCCATACCCTCATAGTCTCACATTTAGTGCTGCATTCTCCATAAACTATAGTGAACCCAGCAGCAAGAGTTTTACCTCTCAAAATGACTGAGGCAGAGGTTTTAGAGAAGACGAGAATTTAACCTCACCAGGTTTAAGTGCACTTGCACTTTAAAAACAAAAGCCAGATGTACAGTACATGCGTATTTTATGCTGTATGTCCACACATCTGCAAATACATCTGTGTGCATGAGCCCTAAATATTCCCAGTCTGGAGGAAGCAGAAAAGTCATGGCATACTGTGCATTAAAATTACAACATGGAAAGAGAACATTTATATGAAAAGATACAGTTTAAAAGATTCCCTGCAGCAGGAGTGTATCCTTTGTTCAACTTGAGCGCTGACTGATTGTATCTACAGTAATTACCTTCACACATATGTCTAAGGTACAGTTCATACTGCCATGACTTGGAATCTGATTTGTGAGACCCCACGTCACATGAAATCTAAAATCCCATGTTGGTCAATGAGAGCTGTCTGAATTAGCACTACTGAAGTCGCTCCGACTTTAGAAAAGGTTCCTGTACTAATTCAAGGTGATTTCTATCCGATTTGTGCCCATAGACTTTAATGGAAGTCGCCTCCAAGTTGAATCCTCATCTAAATGAATGTGATTGGGATCAGACATTACAGGAAATTACCCAGGCATTCCCTAAAAGTTGCTTCAAAGTCACATCAAGTCACATCAAAGTAGTACTCAAGTCACCAGGAAGTCGTCTCTGACAAAGTCGCACTGTAGGTCGCACGACTTTCAGGTCACAGTAGTGTGAACCGAGACTGATGCTGCTTTTACACTGATTCATAGTAAATGCATATGCGGTTTGCTGAATTTTTACCATGTTTGCAGTTTGTTTTTTAAAGGACATGTGACTCAAGAACCACACCACAAAAGTGCAACACAGATTTGTTTTTTATGCATTTTTGCCATGTGATTACAATGGCGAGATGTTTTTGGTGAGGTTTTTTTTGCCGCACCCAGCCTGCACCAAAATTGCAGCATGCAAGACTTTGAAAAATGCAACAGATCAGTGCGAAAAGTTTCATAGAAAAACATGGTTGCATGTTTTTCTTCTATTTTTGTAACACAAAAGCAGCAGAAAAACACATCAGTGTGGAAGCAGCCTAAGGCATTATGCACACAGGTGTATGAGATGGTGAAATGTACATTTTGATGTATTTCTGTGCCTAGGGGGCACAGCTAAAGCTTGCAGTAATGAACGACTGTATGCAGGTATATGCTGTACTTATGTAAACACGCACACGTGAACATGCTTCAATTCCTGGACACCATGTTCAGGGATTTATGTCTGTGCGCTTGTTTTCAGAAGTTTTTTACCCGCATACAGCTAGTCTACAGCTATTCATTACTATAGGTGGCTGGATGCTGCAGCTGTGTCCCCTGGGCCTGGAAAAAACGCCTGCGATTTGTATTGTATAGCCATGTGTATGTGTCCTAAATAGACAAAAGATTCCCTTTAAAAGCCTTAGGCTCCATGTACACTGCAGCTGATAAACTGACGTTCAGGAGCAGTTCAGCGTTTTTTTCAGCAGCCCCTGAACTCACCCAAATGTCTTCCTATGTGTCCATGTACACTATGTCGTTTACAGGCAGTCGTTTTTTTGAGCACACCAAACTTGCGTTCAGGAGTAGATTTTATCAGCGTTTCAAATGGCAAATGCTTGTAAACGCGTGTAAATGTGGCTAACCGTGTTTATAAGCGTTTGCAAAATGTTTTTTAACTCTTCCATTTCCAGATGCTGTCCAGAGCCTTTTTTCATCATGAAAAATGCATGCAAAGCGTTTTCCCGGTACTCGAATGGACCTGGTACACCATACTTTGAGGTTTCGCATGAAAGAAAGTATGTTAGACACTGCTGCAATCATTTCTGCACAGCAATGAGGTGGAACACATCCAAACATCACAAAAAAAAAGACAGCTAATCTCAACACATACTGCTCTCTCTGCTTCTGCTCTCTCTATTACTCTCAAAATGTCTGAAATAGTTAATTTTTTACTGTTTTATCTTTAAAAAGCGCTTGTAAAACACAAACGCTCATAAACGCTATATGAAAACTCTGCTAAACAGACTTTTTTTAACCTATGTTTTCCAGCAGTCAGTTTCCATCGTTCAGAAGAGTTTTCCAAACCTCCCATGTACATGGAGCCCTATAATATTTCATCACATAAAGAGAAAACATCAATATAAAATATTAACCCCAAACTCACCAGCTTCCTGATACGGTCCAGCACCAGATCGATGCTCTCCTTTCCGACAGTGTAGTGTCCCCGTGCATAGTTGTTGGCTGCATCCTCTTTTCCTGTGATAAGCTGTTCTGGATGGAAGAGTTGACGGTAAACCCCGCTGCGGACCTCATCTGTGGAGAGATTACAGCATTAACCTGTAGCAAAATTGCTGACTACTTAGCCCATTGGTCATTGTAAATATTTAAGTCATAAGTTCTGCTTAAGACTTTGTTCACACAGGTGGCTAGGGGGGTAGTAAAAAACAGGCAATTGAGCTGCAGTTTTACTCCCACCCCACCCTCAACCACACACCTAAAAAAGAACCATGCTGACACTCAGCGTTGTACACATGCCACTGCCGCAATGCTTTGTTCTTCTTCTGTGGCAATGACTAAACTCCCTGTTATGTTCAGCAGGCAGTATCGCAACTGAGCATGACCCATCCAAGCAAATGGGGCTGCGCTGCAACTGCCCTAAGTTTCACAAACTGGAGTAGACTGGATCCCCAGAAATTAGTTTCCCAGCTGAGGCTAGGCAGTGTCAGTAGCCAAGGAGAAGTCAGAGAGGAGTGCAAGGAGTCCTGGAGCAGCAGGCAAGCCCAGTGTGCCCCCCGTACAGTAACGTTGAGAGCCCTGAAGGTGGAAATGGGTTTGGTTTCAGGTGACACCAAGGCTGCAGTACATGAGGATAACTGGAAAGACAATGGCACTGGGGAGCGCTGGGGTCACAGAGGCAAAGGGAGGGAGCACTAGAGATCACAGAAGGGTTCAGCCACTAGCAGGTGAATATGATGCTTGAACACCAAGCTACCCACATGCCAACCTTTCAGGGCAGTGTTCCCTTTGTGACTGGCCACAGTGCTGGAGGAAGCAGGAAGCCAGTAACCACACACACAGGGAGATAAACCTGGATCTGAAGCCTAGAACAGTTGAATGTGACACCTTCCCCGGTCTGTGATTGGACAGACAAACTGATGAGCTCATCTCTCTGCCACTCTGCTCTCTCCTCCTGTCAGCATTCTCCTACTAGTTAGCACATGCACACTGTAGCACAACTGATTTCCTCCTTGTGCTGCTTCTTTCTCTCCCAGTTTTCCTGAAGTCAAATTCAGGTACTTACACTGAGCTGCATTCATTTTATTTTAAACAGTACCAGCCTGGATATTAGCTATAAAAGCTGCTATTGTCACATTACTGAGGCAATAAATGTGGCGACATCATTGTTACTGAGCATGTGAGTAGTCTAGAGACCGGGGGGTATCCAGGGAAAGAAAACTTCCACCTGAAGCTTTTCACAGTTATAGTTGTGTTCAAAATAATAGCAGTGTGTTGAAAAAAGTGAATAAAGCTCAAAATCCTTCTAATAGCTTTTATTTCCATACACACAAATGCATTGGGAACACTACACATTCTATTCCAAATCAAACATGAAGAAAAATATATCAAATTTGTGTTGTTCCTCTAAAAAAATTGAAGAAAAGTGAATATTAGACTGTTCAAAAAAATAGCAGTGTTTGTATTCTTCTTTACAAACTCAAACATTCACTATATAAACTGAAAAATGTTTGAAGATTTTGCTTTCCTTTGGATCACTTAATGAATATTTAGTTGTATAAGCACTGTTTCTGAGAACTGCTGTACATCTGTGTTGCATGGAGTCACCCAACTTCTGGCACCTGTGATCAGGTATTCCAGCCCAGGATGATTGGACTACATTCCACAGTTCTTCTCTATTTCTTGGTTTTGCCTCAAAAACTGCATTTTTGATGTCACCCCACAAGTTTTCTATTGGATTGAGATCCGGGGATTGGGCTGGCCACTCCATAAAGGTCAATCTTGTTGGTCTGGAACCAAGATGTTGCACGTTTACTGGTGTGTTTGGGGTCGTTGTCTTGTTGGAACACCCATTTCAAGGGCATTTCCTCTTCAGCATAAGGCAGCATGACCTCTTCAAGTATTCTGATGTATTCAAACTGATCCATGATCCCTGGTATGCGATAAATAGGCCCAACACCGTAGTATGAGAAACATCCCCATATCATGATGCTTGCGCAACCATGCTTCACTGTCTTCACAGTGTACTGTGGACTTGAATTCAGTGTTTGGGGGTCGTCTGACAAACTGTCTCCGGCCACTAGACCCAAAAAGAACAACCTTACTTTCATCAGTCCACAAAATGTTGCGCCATTTCTCTTTAGGCCAGTCAGTGTGCTCTTTGGCAAATTGTAACCTCTTCAGCACGTCTTTTTTTCAACAGTGGGACTTTGCGGGGGCTTCTTGCAGATAGCTTGGCTTCACATAGGCATCTTCTAATTGTAACAGTACTCACAGGGAACTTTACACCTTCTTTGATCTTCCTGGAGCTGATTGTTGGTTGAGTCCTTGCCATTTTGGCTATTCTTCTATCCATTCGAATGGTAGTTTTTAGCTTTCTTCCACATCTTTCAGGTTTTGGTTGCCATTTTAAAGCATTTGCAATTATTTTAGCTGAGCAGCCTATCATTTTCTGCACTTCTTTATATGTTTTCCCCTCTCCAATCAACTTTTTAATCAAGGTACGCTGTTCTTCTGAACAATGTCTGGAATGACCCATTTTCCTCAGAATTTCAGAGAGAAATGCACTGTAACCAGCATGTACAACATTTGCTGCCTTCCTTCCTTAAATAAGGGCAATAATTGCCACCTGTTTTTCAAAGAATGAATGACCTCACTAATAGAACTCCACACTGCTATTATTTTGAACACGCCTCTTTCAATTAGTGAATCAGCAGCATGCATGTCATGACTGTTGGGTCTGTTGGATTTCTATTAGTCTACTACACCTGCTAGTAAATTATTTGCCATGTAGAAATATCATTTCTACCAAAAACAGTGATTGATCAGGTTAGTGATGTCTGACTGCTATTATTTTGAACACAAATGTATGTATGACAGGCGCTTATAAACATTGTATCACATAAATCCGCTCATCAGTAATTTCACGCAGCAAGCCAGATCAGATCACGTCAGAAAGCATTCATGGTAGAAAATTCCTGCATAAAATGCAAGGATGGACTTTAAAATAAAAGTGCATATTTGCTCATAGGTCCGTAAAATACTGTCAAGCATTGTAGATTTTTATGTTGTTTTTTTTTTTTTTTTTTTGGTTTACTGTACTGTAGATAGACCAAGTTTATATGCCTGTGTACAGGGCCATTAAAAACAACGAGCTGCCTTTGGTTTGAGCTACTGTCAGTGTTATATCACTGTTTTTGTAATTTATGTGCCATTGATAGTCCCTGCGTGGGCACAGCTTTTGCTCTACCGGTGTTAGAGCACTGTTTTCTTTACTTTTTTATGTGCCATTGATAGCCCCTGCGTGGGCATGTCTTGTTGTTCAAGTCTTGTTGAAATGTTTACAAATTAATAAAAACCATTGAAATACAAAAACAATGGGCTGCATTTAAAGCATAAAAAAACGCTTGAATATCTAAAAATATGGTGCTTTTAGGCATCCATGTACAGGAGCCCTGGAGGATCAAATAGCTATATATGTAGCAATTGTGCACACAGAGATGGACGCGGTCATCCATCTTGCTAAGGATCCTCCATCTTGTATCTCTCTCTCCCTCCAATCCCCCCTCCCTCTCTGTTGAGTGACACGTGGTCCCTGTGTCTGGGTTCAGAAGTGCACAGGCAATCAGGCACAGTGGGACAGCTTTATGGTTATAAATCCCAAATTAGTTGGTGCCCTGGTGTCTGTTAGCTTAGAGAGAATCGTAAAACCATAAACCAGTCCTTAACTGGGCTTCAAAGACATTCCAGCTAGCCGTAAAACAGACAACATATTTAAAACCCACTTTTCCATATAATTTTATATCTGGAGATGGGAAATAATTACATAAAAACCAAGCATATATTCGGATAGCTCAGTTTAATGAGAGTCGTCTGATATCTTACACCCCCTAGTTGAAGTCTACAGGAGAGCAGAAAGCCATATAGTTCTAGCCGAAATAGTGAACTATGCCAAGTTTGATATCTAGGCGTTCAGCAGATGATTCTGCATATTAATCTACCTGTGGATAGAATGTTACATGTACCTAGGGAAGGTTATTGCCCATGGTATAACTTGGGAGGGATTTTGGTCCTAATCTGAGTCCCCCCGCCTACAACACCCCTCCCAAATGAGACGATTGGTTCTCTGCTGTAAGGAGACACCCTGCTGAGTTTCTAGAAAAAGGCTGTTATGCTTGGAGCAGTAAGTTGAAACATTCTCCCCTTTTAACATCGGAACCAACTTGGGAGACGGTACCCTTGCTCTGAAACTTGATCTGCTTAAACCAAGGCTGACGGCAAGTATCTACCTCTCTAAACTTCTTTCTTTTATTTTTTTGCTGTGTTATTGCTCTCTGTATTTATATATATATATATATTGGCTACATCTTTTTCTGTAAATATTTTTATTGCACCCTTTTGACCTTTTTAGTAATAAATCCTATTATCTCAAAAAGTGTTGAACTGTTTCTAAAGCTCTTTAATGCAAACTAAGAATCCCTGTCTCTGAAGAGCGCTACTGTGTGTTTAAAACCCTCTATATATCTCTGCCTGCTGTGTTATTGCTGATATTGCCAAGTTTCCGCTTTCTCTGTACAAAAAGGAGGTGGTGGCAGTGTGAAGGGTTAATTGCATAATTAACCTGACCCATCGCTCTCAGGCTGCAGGTACATAGATTGTGGTCCATTAGCTGGAAAATCTTTGTGCTGGGTGAAGCTGAGCGTGGCATTGTTACGCAGGTGACAGCATGGTTTTAGATTGGCTAGTCCTTCGGTCAAGAGTTGGTGAGAAGGGCTGGGCTCTGACGCCACGATCGTCACAATATACACCACTTTCTGGTAAAATTCTGACCTTTGGGTATATACAAAAGCATGTTTGATGGGTTTATATCACAACCAAATTTGTTAAACTAGCCATAGATGGGTTCCTCCCCCCTGCCTGGACACTGTATACTGACATTGGGAATAACCGCTGTCAGAATACACTGACCAAAAACCATATAATATGAGGTCAAACCTAAACAACACTTTCAATTGTATCCAATTAGGCAGGTCCTTGCACTACATAGTTGAAGGTAATTCTAAAGGAAATTGAGCAGA